TAAATATGTATACCTATGCTAGGTCCCACTATCGGTATTGGTTTCTTTTTATCTCTAAATCTTTGAGATAGAGGAAATAGGATTGATTACTAAATCTGTCAGTGAAATTGAACGATTGTCAATATGAAACAATATATGTATACCTTGTCAATATTCGTATACCTTGACTATATACCTATGTATAATACAAACTACACTGTCAATAAACATGCTAAAACTGGACAAAACACGCGTCATCATTTATAATCAATGAAGGGGGGGGGGGAGAAAAAATCCTACATAAAAATATTAACTTTTAAAAACTATTGGAATTTAAAATTATTTCTACAAAAGAAGGAAAGGATATAGAGGTACATGACAAAAGAGTGAGTATCGAGTTAGTTCTGTGGTATCCCCCAGCAGTCGAATTTGACTTCTTCTACTAGAGGATAGATCCAATTGCTTCAGTCTCATTGGAAAGTATTTAACTTAATTCACAGAACCACGGCTCACCCGAAATCTATACGTTTATATCTTATATTTATTATAATCACATGAGATGGTGCAATATTATATACAAGGGAAATTACTTCATTGAAAAGATAACGGATATAAAAAAAATTACAAAATCATTCGTGTTTCTATTATGAATTAACATCGTCGAGTGATTGTTTTAACTCTGGAATACAAATATGCCGAAACCCAAAAAGATTTGGCACCCCATACAGTCATACAGTAACATAATTTTACGTAACGCTATTGCCCTCAATTTACATTCACATCATTGATTTCTGTCGGGATTTATTCTCCATAGCATCTATTAATAGTAACGTATGTGTATACGCCGATCAAGCGCACAATTTCTATCTTGGTTGATTATCGACAGGAAACGAGACGATGCATTATACCAGTAATCCTCAACCAGTGTGCCGCGAGATCTTCCTAAGTGTGCCGCGAAATTTTTAATCGGCACACTAAGAAAATGTGAAAAACTACGTGATCCCAATTGAGTATTTACTGATGTCTACTGATAGTTCATAGTTGTGTTTTTCTTTATTTAGTTTGAGTCATTCTATGTGTCTATGACTAGTCTCTGTCTACGGTTGTATGTTTTTATTTTGCAAAATTCAAATATCTTTCATATATATTTAGCCAGGTGTGCCGCTATTTTTTCATGTGTTCCAAGGTGTGCCGCTGTCAAAAAATGGTTGAGAACCACTGCATTATACCAACTGTCTTTAACTATAGCTGATTACAGATATAATTACGTTGGACTTATCTTGTTTATCTTGTATATTTTGTAATGTACACCTTATTTTGCAAATTAGTCGCCCAAACCCATCAATTTGTTCAACACACCGTCGCGCATGCTCGGTTTTTTCAAAGTGCGTGCTCACTAAGGAAGTTTCTCTGGATTTTTTAGAGCGGTTTACCACTTGTCAGTTGTGTAGTCATCTGGCAATGAACAGGCTCCTAGTCGTTGTAGTGGGATAGAAACGAACCCAAAAGTAGTCTCCGCAATATAGAACACGAAGTATAAATCATTTCGCCATTATATAACAAATAATGACACCGTCACCAATTATTTCAGAGATGGCAATTAGTAATACTAGTATTCATTGATCATGAGCATTGTCCTCCTCCATAGTTTTTATTAAAAATCTCCATATTTGGAACTTATTTAAACTTTCAGGTTATGAATGTTATCACATTGTGTAACCCAGCAATATGCACAAGAGAGAAAAGATCACTGGGCAAATTGTCGACCACCCACTTGTCACTTCCCGCGCTAAATAGTGTTTTTATTCCAATAGCAGAACATTCACAAATAAATAAAGTCACTGATTACGTTAGTCTTGTTTCTTTGTTTTTGTTGGGGCTAGGGATGTATATGCGTCTTTTCTGCAAACCAGTAACCCAAACTCTAACTACTATTGAAGTTGTTTCAACAATCTAAAACCTGAAGTATAAAAAACCCCATTCCGGCTTTAAAGGGTCTACAATACAATTGGTAATATCTAAATGAAGACTAGCAATATTCTTATGTCGCAAAACCTCCCTGTTAGGGGATATCATGGAAACGTTATCACGTCACCACTGACACATGAAAGCGGAATTAATTAAATATCCATATCGTGTCAGCTGTGACACCCAGATGGTCGACCCATTACAAGGTCCCAAATCCAGCCCAGAGAACCGAACTAGGACCAGGGCTCCCACAATACAAGCTCACTAATAATAATAATAATGTACATTTATATAGCGCTTAATCCATCCATGAGCATGCTCTAAGCGCTGTAAGTTAATGGCTTCTGTGGATAATACATCGTGAACATATGCGTCTTAAGTCTAGATCGAAATTGAGCAACTGTTTCTGAACACTTTATTTTGTCAGGTAAGTCATTCCATAGTCGTGGACCATATACACTGAAGGCTTTATCACCAAAAGATTTTAATTTAGTTGAAGGTACAACAAGTGATAGATTATTCTGTGAACGGAGTGGTCGGTTTGGTACATAAGGCTGCATAAGATCTGTGATATAGGATGGAGCTGAATCATGCTGAGACTTGTAGACCAGTGTTAAGATTTTAAAGTTTATACTTTAATGAGTCATTAACTAAAGGAGTTTTGTACATTATATGTCTAGCAGAATAAAAGTATTATATTGAGTGAACATAGAGATGTGTCTTGAAGAACTGATAGTTTAACATTCCGAACAAAACTGTATAAATTCCAATTTGACTATCGCCAAAGTTGATAAATTCCAAAACGACTATCACAAAAAAGTTGATAAATTCCAAAACGACTATCACAAAAATCGACAGAATCCAATCGTGAATAAAGCGGAAAGGCGGTGAACTTGTAGAGCTGAAAGACTTTTGTTTTCCTGGGAAAATATCATTAAGTTTAATATTCTACTTCCACCAATGCATACACAAATGATAGTAAGCAAAGCATAATGGGCATAGTGTCCCTTGTCCGAAACATTCATAATCATTTCTAAATATTAATTTAAAAATAAAAACTGCTAGTGACGTTAATAATATATTGACGTGAAATATTGAAATAATATACCCTAGGTATATTAACAATTTGAATAAATAAGGTTTAACTCAAAACTTCTGGTTGCATCCATGCTGAGTCGTAAATATGTATACCTATGCTGGGTTCTACTATCGGTATTGGTTTCTTTTTATCTCTAAATCTTTGAGATAGAGGAAATCGGACTGATTACTAAATCTGTCAGTGAAATTGAACGATTGTCAATATGCAACAATATATGTATACCTTGTCAATATTCGTATACCTTGACCCTTGACTATATACCTATGTATAATACAAACTACACTGTCAATAAACATGCTAAAACTGGACAAAACACGCGTTATCATTTATAATCAATGAGGGGGGGGGGAATCCTACATAAAAATATTAACCTTTAAAAACTATTGGAATTTAAAATTATTTCTACAAAAGAAGGAAAGGATATAGAGGTGTAAGTACATGACAAAAGAGTGAGTATCGAGTTAGTTCTGTGGTATCCCCCAGCAGTCGAATTTGACTTCTTCTACTAGAGGATAGATCCAATTGCTTTAGTCTCAAAGGAAAGTATGTATGTAACTTAATCCACAGAACCACGGCTCACCCGATATCTATACGTTTATATCTTATATTTATTATAATCACATGAGATGGTGCAATATCTACATACAAGGGAAATTACTCTATTTACACGCGGTAACGGATATAAAAAGAAATTACAAAATCATTGTGTTTTTATTATGAATTAATATCGTCGAGTGATTGTTTCAACACTGGAAAACAAATATGCCGAAATCCCAAAAGACTTGGTATCCCATACAGTAACATAACTTTACGTAACGCTATTGCCCTGAATTTGCATTCACATCATTAATTTCTGTCGGGAGTTATTTTCCATAGCATCTATTAATAGTAACTTAGATGTATAAAGCCGATCTTTATATCTTGGTTGATTATCGACAGAAAACAAGACGATGCATTTTTACATCTGTCTTTGACTATAGCTGATTACAGATATGGCATGTAAACTGACAGTTGAGCTATATTACAGAAATGCTGTAAAAACAAAAAATGTTATTTAAAAGGAGAACTAACAATTTGAATACCTGCACCTTAACCGTAAACTTTTGGTTATCTCCCGGTATCAAATACAAGATGTGTAGGCCGATGATTGATTGCCGCTGTCCGTAATTTTGTTTAAATTCTTTAAATCATTGAGATTGAGGAAATCGGATTGTAAACAAACGAAGAAAACACGATCAAGAGGTGAACGTAATTGACAAAAGAGTGAAGACAGAGTTTTGCATTATTCTCAAAGTAAATCAGTATATCAACATAAACCACAGAACCAAGGCTCACCCGATGTCTACACGTTCATATCTTATATTTATTATAATCCCATGGGATTATGCAATATCTACATACAAGGGAAATAACTCTATTTAAAATGTTTCATTTTGCCCGAATCTTCAATTTTCAATCCCCCTGAAAGCACCCTTCTTAACTAAAATTAGCAAATTAACTTTCGCTTAATCTATCAAAATCAAAGTTTAACTGCATAATAACTACCATAGTATCTCTAATCTACATAGCAAATCAATAAGAAAAAAGTCGTACTACTAACTGTTCTTTTGGAAAAATTAATACATTTGGGACTTTCTCAGTCGACATGTGAACACAAAATGGGTTATATCTAAAAGATAAAATTGGCTTGATTACGAAAGTAAAGTGCTACTTGTTGTCCCTATGCAAAACAAATCAATATATAAAAATGAATGGGATGAACAAAATTTAACAGGTAAACCCAATTGGATTTGTCTCCCTTCATTCAATGGCTATTTTTATCTTTTGCATTTACCTTTTATCTGTCATTCACGTCAACGGTCGCGTTTATGTCACGTGGTTTGTATTGATCACGTTTTTCCAGTCTCTTTAAGTGGTTGCCTAACAAAGTATACAAAAAGACCAGCCATGCGAGACTAGACTAACCATTGTTATGGGTAAACTGGTTTGACCGGTAGCGGTATTTTATCGCTTTAATTACAGGTGCTCTCTTGTCGCGGAGGTGGAAAAATCGTTTATGAGCCTCACCCAGCATAACAACAATACATCGACATAGGGTGTTTCTGATAGAAGAAGATTTTGCTAGGTTTTGGGGCAGATTTTCTTAAAGTTTCACCATGGAACGTGAAACAGTTATTGAGGACAGACTAAGTAAAATTTATCATACAAATTACGTGCGAAATTCTCGAGCTATCTGCGTTCTGTGGGGAATATTCACTGTGTGTTATGCCATACTAAACATCGTCTGTTTCATTCAACCCCAATGGATAGGGGACACAGGAGTTGCCACGGCTGGGTTTTTTGGATTATACAAATATTGTGTGCTCCGAAATAATAATGAGTTTGAATGTCTGGGAGATTTTTTTGACGCCGATTCTTATTTAAATTCCTCGTTTCACGCGGCAGCAGTATTTATTGGTCTGTCTGCTCTACTTTTTCTCATCTGCTGTTTATGTCTTCTGTTGTTTTTATTCCTGAACACAGCCACCGTACTCAGAATATGTGGATGGATTCAAGTTCTTGGAGGTTAGTATATGATGTAGACAAGTATTTTTAAATTCACTGACTATTAATAGTGTCTGTGACCACGCCTCTTTAAACATGACACTACAAAATTCATGGCCGGTAAATTCATTATCCATATCAATATGCCCATGTCTGATAGTCAAAGGTTTTGGTACATGCTTTATTCTCTCTTCCAATTGTTAACAACCGTTATTGTCCATTATTGATCCGAAGGACGAATTCGTTTCCACAAAATATCACCATTTAAAGTATGCTAGATTTGCAATTAATTATTCATTTTCACAAACTAACGGATTGTTATTTAATTAACTGCACTGGTATGTTCTGGTTGAATAGTTAATTATTTAGTTAACTTGTTTTACGTTTGAATTAGGGAATCCATGCTGTTAAAATATACCAATAGAAAGATTTTGCTACCATCATACTTCCATTTCCTACCTAGAAATATGTAATAAAAAAAGTACATTTCCTGGTAAATAGATACAGGTACATTTGTATATACTCCTACTTAATATGTAAATGCCACACAGTAATAATACATATAGATAACAATCAAAGTTCAGCCGTATTCACACTTATCTGTTCATTAATAGATATACATTGTATATATAAAAGGGTTTCAAAGTTTTAAATAAATTTATCATTCTTAACCATATCCCTCTTAATATAATTCTAGATACAAATGAGTATACGTGTATAAAGGCGATTGTGTATTATTACAATTTTACAATTAATTTGAAAAAAATTGTTACTGTATAACATAAATATATTTCATGTTTAAAAATCTAAAATTCATAGTTATTAGTGTTTCAGTATTTTAAACCAAATTGTAATTCTTAATCACCACCCTTAACGCTTTATGCATGTACACACAGTTATAATACGTTACAACATCCATTGTACAACATAAGATATAAATTGATCTGAAATGTATCGATATAACGTGCTGTTTATGAAATAAAAGTGTGTGTGTGTGTGTGGGGGGGGGGGGGGGCGAATGGTTAGCACGTGCGCGATGTATCATAAGGTCTGGCGTGGTTTCGATTCCCCGGATGTACGTGACACGGAATAGGGTGGCCTGCCCAACCTCGTGGGTTTTTTCCAGGTCATCCGGTTTCCTCCCACTGCTTAAGACTCCTACGCGCAAGCGAAATATTCAAATAAGATTGAACCTTGTGTTAGTCCCGGAATGACCTAGTTTGTCTCGAGTGGACGTTAAATCCCATCTCCCCCCCCCCCTCTCTCTCTCTCTCTCTCTCTCTATAAAATATAAAATTCATGACTAATACATTAGGGTTTTGTTTAGTATTGTAAATAAAATGATAATGTATAAACACACTCCTGTTAATCAATGTTATATAATTATAATAATGAGTATATAGATCGTAACGTGTTGTAATATGACACTAATGTAGCGTATAATAATAATAATAAGTATTCTATGAAGTTTTCATTTCTATTACATTAAGCTTTGTTTAGTTTGTAATCAATATCAACCTTTCCAATATCGTTACATCGTTTTATCTATCACTCAATATCGATTACGTATTGTGCATGATATGATTGACCTAGATCACGATATAGTATCAATCAATCAGTGATTACCAATCGGTGTGGTGTGGAAGAAATCATTATTGAACTTTATCATTTAGCAAGGCATGGTAACATTTAACAGCTTTCGAGACAATGCCCAATGAGTTTAAAAATTCGTTGGGATTTCAAATTTTCAAAATGTTTTAATCTCGTAATACACATGATCTTAAGTTCTATTTGGTTTTAAATTTAAAACATAGCGTAAAGTTCAGGAATGACACATTTGGGTGTGTTATATTTACGTACATAAAACACAGAGAGTCACTTTATCAACATATGTATTCCCTGGACATGATTTTAAAAAAATAAAATAAATAAACACCTCACACATCTTAAAACCTAGTTCATTTCCCTAAATTCTTTAAATATATGCATTACACGAAAAACTTACATATTGCCTATTTTAGAATATGTTTTAAATAAAAACATAAAAATAACACATAAATCTTTACATATATATTAAATACTGTTACTTTTATGTTTATTTTCACCTATACGGTTTTAAAACTCTTTCGTTTAATGGACCTTGATATATCACTATTCTTAATGTAAAATTTCAACAAAGATTTGTTAGCTATGTAAACTCATATAATAGTTCCGGTCTGAAATTTGTGTTGGTCTGATCTAGATGAATTTAGTTTTATGTACTGTTATAAGCCCGACTTGGGTCATTGTGGTTGTTTAAAATAATTGTTACCAAAGAAGAAGAAAGGAAGACATCACTGGTTAGATAAAGGTTAGGTCAGGACCAGTATAATCCGTTTCGCTTTTATGTGTTTAACATTTACACTTAAGTAAGGGGTAACATTTTTTAAGTATTTGTGTTCAATGGACCCGAACCTGTCATGTAGTTAGTGAATAGACGCTTTGGTTTGGTAAGATTTAAGAATGTCCTGATTTAGACTTCATATAGAACGGGGAATTGACAAAGGAGTAGTATCGGTCAATCGAAATGATATACAGAGCAAATTTAGCTAAATGGATAAGGTTATTGAAACGAATGTAAGACGTTTCGGGCACGGTGGTTTTTAACTCTAATCTGTTAGTTTTACGAGCACCAGTAAGTACCCCATATAACCAACATAGCCTTATCTTAAAAGATGCTGTTGCACTGTATTATACCCCATATAACCAACATAGCCTTATCTTAAAAGATGTTGTTGCACTGTATTATAGTTCTAATTTTTTTTTTTAAAAAAAGCGGAACGAAATTACACCCTGAGTCAAATCACATAGCATAGTTCCCGTATGCACACTGTGGTCCAAATAGGATTTAAGTTAATCGTGCATTGTGCATATCAATTATGTTCGGAAGTCTGCTCTGAGTAACTGAAAACATTCTAACTGCAAGTCTTGGGAGTGTAACGTATTCCAGCATGACTATCTCTACAGCTAAACACGTGACGACAAACACACCTTAGTTGTAAAGTGTCTTTAGTCTTGTGGTGGTAAATAAACCTACCTATTACCAATATTTATCTACCACCAAACCATCAGCCTTGTACATACCATGACGTGTGTCACTATCTGTGGAACTCTAAAAGTGCTTTGATGAACAAACTCTAATCTCAGCTGTCTTACTGGACAGTTTTGAATTAAAAATCCCAATTTTACTAATGCCACTGATAAATCTATAATAACAATTTACGCCCTTGATAGTTAAGCAGTTCTGTTATAGATGCAATTATGTTAATGTTAGATTCCACACATGTAAGTAAGTGTGCGGGTACATGTAGAGTCGCCTGTTTCTCGGGAATCTCTGGCTTCCTCACAATGCCAAAGATATTATTAAACCATACCACACGAGTTGAATACATCCCCACCCCCTCTTTGAAGGTACGCTTTTCTGTCGAACAAATGTCTACTCTGTGGTTCTAATTTACTTCCCATATACGGATATGGTTATATTCCCTATTAATTGTTTTAATGATAATTTAATACAATAATTAACTCAGAAATGGTGCTGTAGGAACCATCCACAAAAAAATTAAAAATGTACAAATACCCTGAAGAGAAATAAACAAAAGCAAACTATATTCGTGTGTTTGTAATGCAAGAATGGCTACAATATTTTAAACCCGGAGCAGTTAGCGAATTCCTGCTAGAATCAATATTGTACTGGATATTGATTACAGCAGAAAAGCATCATATACAACACGTATTTCTATCTTTTATCCAATTGACACGCTACGGGTCGATGATTGTTTTTTCTGTTTACTTGTAAACAAGGATATCTCATTCTAACACACGTATATCCTAAAATCTGATACTGTGATCTAAATGGCATTTTCCCCCTCTACAATTCGTACCGTTAAAATAATCTACATTAAACATTGCCGGCTTTCATTTGGAAGATTTGCTGTTTTTTTGGCAACGTTTGCAACATACGTGGTCACGAAGATGCTGTGTTTAAAGATATTTAAATGTTGAGACATTGTACATGTTTAATCGTTAAATTTAAACAATTTAATTAATTGAAAGATATGGTTTAGCGGAAATGAAGCCATTTAAGTAGTATTTTTTTTCCAGAAATCCCCTAATGATATTAGGAAGTTCGGAGTTTAGATATGAATTAAACTGGCTAATTTCTCAAATAACTAGAATATGTAAGACACGAGTTAAATTACGGGTGTATATACCTCTGAAATGACACTTTATTTCATTTGGACGCTGGCTAGTTTTTCAAATACCGCGAAATTATATCGAAAGAGTACGGCGCCAGTTCAGATTACGTCGGTATATTAATTTTGTCAAACACAACCTAGTATTCACTAGTTGATCGAGTAGAAATATCTTTCTGATGGGAAACAACGTGTAAAAAGAAACAAAATTATAAAAATGTTTTAAAAAATTGTATCCGCTTATGAATATTTATTTATTTGTTTTATTTAAATATATGTTTACCAACATTTTTTTAATTTACCTTGAGCTCCTCAAATACCGCATGTCTCACGTAAAAGTGCATTTTAAAACATAATTGTGTAAAGTTTTAAAAATATCTATTTAAGACGTTGCAAGCCAAATAATCGAAGTAGTTTGTCATTTACGGTTATTTAAGGAAATTTAGTTATACCGGTTTCCACTGCTTCATTGGTGTGTAAATGTTAATTTCAAGTGGTTTTATTTACCTTTAAGTAAGAGTACAGTTGCCTAAGTCAACATACACCTAGTTATATACCCTATGCCTAGGTGTGGTCATCTAGAATTAATTGCCTATGCAATCGTCACCGACTTTAAAGGAGCTAGATCGCTAGTATTTGGGACCTAGAAATTTACCCAAATGGGTTGCAACGCATATAATAATGTAATATGAATATATATAAACTGATTTACATCCAATCGTTTCTGTTTTACTCTAATTTCTAATCAGTTATTTTCGGCGAAATAAATTAAAAGTCTCATTCGAATAGCAATCTCTAGCGTCTGGTTATTCTAGTCTAGACCGATGGTATTTATTGCGCATGCTCTGCAGATAAGAATATTGCGTCATCATTTGACTTGACTTGTTACAAATGGCGCTGAAACGCATTATGTTACACGGTTCGTGTACCAATGGTAAAATGTTTATGTTTGATATCAGAAGCCTATCTTTTCCCGGTAAGATCACAACATCAGTGTTGATTTAAATTGACTAATAATTCGTCGAAGACTTTAGGTGATATTCAGTTAGAGACTTGGCTACTTTAAAGAGATGAATTACTAATTGAATTTTTGAACCATTAGTGGTGGGGTGGGCTCGTGTCACTTATACATGTAGTGTAATTTCGGGGTCCATTGCAGTATTCTAACATTAATTAGACATGTAGTCTTAAAATTTTCTGGGAGAATCGAAGAGGTGGAAGTTTTGTTTCTTTGTTTTTTTTTAATATTTTTATAATACGATACATTCACTTCAGTTGGATTTGATCTTTGGAAGATATTGATCTCAAACTCTTGATTTTCATGCCAAATGGCCCAATGTTACATGATTGGGAGGTAAGAAGATTATAACTAAACAAACGATAAAAATATCATGTTCCTGTGTCGTTAGCTGATACAAATTAAATATATTTGAACATATTTCAATCGTATAGTCATGAATTCAGTAAAAACGAATGTATAGCCTTGGTATTCCTTCAATATGGATATCTAACTTATTTCAAAGAAATCCAATCGTAGCCGGGGACCATTTTGTAGTTTGTTTAGTGATTTGCCGACCAGTAGACCTTATCACACAACCTTCCTAAATCTTAATGGGAAATACCTCCCCTATTGTCTGCATTAACCCCGCCGCTTTCATGATGTGTGAGAGTAAATTACAAACACGCCGGAAATTATAGTATAGAGGTTTTCAGTTCACAGACAATTGTCGTGTTAGAATATTACTGGATTGCGATGATGAATTATTTAATTTAGTTTTCAGTTCACGGACAAATGTCGTGTTAGAATATTGCAGGATTGCGATGATGAACCATTTAATTTACACGTAGTTTTCAATTCACAGAGAATTGTTGTGTTGCAATATTACTGGATTGCGATAATGAACTAAATTTGGCTGTCTATGTACACGACAGCTTACAAAAACCTACACCTTAAAACTGTTGTCTTCCCGATTAGAATATAAATTAAATCCTATCACGGTGACACTGTATACTACGCTTATGATATCGTGATGAGTTGATGGAAATAGAATTTAAAATGGATACAATGGATGTTCAAGTCAAATTGACGTCATAATCCTGAGGGATTAAAACCTGGTTAAAACCTATTTTTGCTGGCAGTACAAAAACTCGTATGCAAATTATAGAGTAGATCATTCGAACATTATTCGGCGCGGAAGGGTGTGTGGGTGTGTGTGGGTGAGGGGGGGGGTATAAGTTTGGAGGAAACCGGAGAAACCCCACGTAGTTATGCAGGCGAAACAACGCTTTTGGCCTCCATAACCTCTGAAAAATGAAAATAACACTTTAAACTCCTATATAAATGGATATCTGAAGCATGAATGTGTACAACATGCCAACGGAATCTGGTTCACAGCCTCATCCAAGATATGTGCAATAGCCTCGCGATGCTATTTTCGACAAATCCCCACGTCTCTTCTAGTAACACTAGCGGGAATGTGCTTCTGGAAAAGCTAAAGGCAAAACTTCTCCCCGAAAATTTCATGAAATATGTTTAACCTGAGGTCATCTTTTCTTATTTTTTACCAAATAAAATGATAAAAATTTTGAAAATTTCTTAAGCAGCGAGAACCCCCACAAAAATATCGTGACTGGTTACGACTTCAGTGATTATATGTTTAAAAACTGCAGTTTAAATTTAAATGATTTTGTAAGAAATAGACCTGCAAATCGAAAGCTATTGAAGGTTTGTCGTTTGTCATTTGCCAGAAAGTTACAATCCTAACTAAACATGGCGTGTTTATTTATAGTGTTGGGATTTGAAGCTAATCTTAATGATCAACAGAACTTTGTCCAAAATATCAACAAAACAGTCTCTGTATTTATCAGTTGTATAAGATGGTGCAGTATTAAATTTAGAAATGTCAAAGAAATGAAACAAGTAGCTGATTACTCTATGTTTTATGATATTATCTCTCCTGGATTTTCTGACTCTTTCAACTTCTTTTTCTCGCTCAGCTCCGGTAAATAATCAGCTGAAAAATGTGTTGATTGTCAATAAACTTTATGAGTATCTGTTTTTACAAAAGAGATATCTATTGACATTTTTGTTTAGAATCTTAAAAGAGTGGAAATGAAACTGTTGGTTTGGTAATCTGTGATATTAAATTAGATAATGAGACAGAGATATTTTCCTGTGATAAATAACCCCCATTCCTGTTTATATAGTATAATTAAAATCTTATTCAGAATCCTGAACATTGATTAAAGTCTTACAGTGTATGCTAAACATTAATTTAAATCTTATTCAGTATCCTATAAACATTGATTAAAATCTCATTCACTAATTTACACATTGATGAAAATCTTATTCACAATCTTACGCGTTGATTAAAATCTTATTCACTATCTTACACGTTGATTAAAATCTTATTCACTATCTTGATTAAAATCTTATTCACTATCTTACACGTTAATTAAAATCTTATTCACTATCTTACACATTGATGGAAATCTTATTCACTATCTTATACGTTGATTAAGTCTTATTCACATTGATGGAAATCTTATTCAGTATCCCACACACTGATTAAAATTTTGTTCATTCCCCTACACATTAAGTAAAATCTTATTCAATACCCTACACATATTTTTCAGTGTCTTATACATTGATTAAAACCTTATATTGTGTCTTATAAGTTAATTAAAATCATATTCGGTGTCTTATAAGTTAATTAAATTCATACTCTGTGTCCTACAAACTGTTTAACGTCTTATTCACTGTCCGTTTTATGAGCATCATATCTAATCATATTTCGAATCTTTAATGGTTACTAAACTGTAAAATTTATGTTTTAGAATAGAGACTCAATAAGTTACTTAATTCATTATACGACCGGATAAAATTTCAATCACATATTTCTTAGCAACAGAATGTTCTCCCCACCTCATGTTGTATTATCAAACTAAAATTATTTCACAGTTTGGCGAAATTTATCTGACCACATTGCTCAAGTCTACAGAGCCGTAAGGTATCCTGATTGTAAATTTACCTTTAGTTAAAAGTTAAGATTATATCAACTGTAGCCATGAACCGCCATCGATCATGTAGTTTGCATATGGATTAGGCTATCTAATCTAGTTGTCGTTGATGCCCATTCCAATGACTAAACTAAACTGTCCTAAAACCATTCATTAATGCAACTATCTTTTATTCCTATTTTAATATAATAGTTTAATACTTTATTCAAATTTCTCCTAATTAAATCGTTCACCTTATTAATTAAATACCATTAAATTCAAATACGTCATCACAATCACATTAGTAGACCTTGTACTTATTAATATATCACTGTCTTTTTATTGCAACACTATAAAAAAATCATGACCCCGTTATACATGATATTAATTCACACGACCTTATTAAATTAATAGGTCACAGTCTTATTGATAGGTCACACTGATAGGTTACAGCTTTATTCCACATATTTATTAATTGCACCGATCATTTTATTAATATGATCTCATTTAATATATCATAGTAATACACCACACTGTTATTATTATTATGCTACTGTTGATAAACAGAAATCTTATTAATTACACCACACGCTTTTTAATACACCACTATTAGTACACACAAATCGTGCTACACCACACACTTATTATAACACCACTGCAATTATTACACCACACCCGTAGCAGTACTTCACTATTAATACACGGATATTTTATTACACCACACCCTTTTAAAACATCACTATTGGTAAACACAGATCATGCTACATCACACCCTTATTATAACACCGCTGTTTCATAGAGCTATTATTACACGACACCCGTATTAGAACATTGTACATCAGTATTGATACGCGAGATTTTATTACACCACACCATTATTAATACATTACTATTTCCACACACGGGTAGTTTTAAGCTACATCCTCATTATAACACCATTGTTAACCATAGACCTAGTATTACAAAAACACCATTAATTGGTACACGGAGGTATTATTACATCACATCTCTACTAATACGCCGCGATTAGTGCGCAGATACCTTATTACACCACACCTTTAGTATATATGGGGATATTATACCACACCTCTATTAATACAGTACAATTATTACATGCAGTACACAGCGATCTCATCTCTTGCATACCACATGATTGGCTTTATATATATTTAGATTAAAATGTCCGTTGGCAGGCATAATGTTAGAATCCAGGGGAGGGGGGGGGGAATAATATTTGTGTTACTGCTACACATATAGTTTTGGTCAACGTTTGAATATGTTATTCTTCTTTTGCAGCAATTTTTATGTTCCTTGGTTGTGTCATCTTTCCAAATGGCTGGGACCACAAAACTTTCAACAAGATTTGTCTAAATGATAACAAGTCCTACGATATGGGTTCCTGTGGTATACGATGGGCTTACATCTTGGCCATTATACTGATCTTTGATGCCACCATCTTGGCAATTTTGGCCTTCGTCTTGGCAGCAAAACAGGCCAAACTCTTACCAGAAGTGTACAAAAAGATGGAAAAATGTAAGTAAATTTTGGAGTATGTTTTGGTGACCTCAAACATTAACAGTCGGGAAATTTGGACAGTATATATACTAAATAATAATGACAGATATGTACAAAATAAAATCTGTTAAATTGTTGTATATGCCAAAACTATATATTTCATATTCAATTGTTACCTTTTCTTTGCAGCGGAGAAAAATTTTCAGTAGGTATCAAACCGTGTTCATTGTCGTAAAAAAGGAAATTACATGTATCTCTTTTTACACGTAGTCTGTTAACCTCCGTTTTCTGCGTTTTAACCATTGCTTTTAATTTTGTCACTTTTGAAATATTTTGTGTTAGAATTATCACGTTTTTGTATTCGTATGATATATTAATTTGTTTAAATAACAATAGTCAATTGTATTTAACTTTCATTTTATTTTTAACTTTACATGCTTAATACTTTTATTAATAAAATTTAAACCATTAAGTTTTTACAAACCAGTTTATCCTTTAAACCTGGGCTCCACTAACTAACTGGTATTATACTATAACACTGTATTGTAAATTATGGACCGACTATACAGCTTTAAAGTTTTAAGCTTTTTTTCTTCAATTTTTGTGAGTGTATGTTATGTTTAAATCCTCTATTTTCCTCGATGTCAAGTTACTGTAGAGTAGAAGACGTGAATATTTATAAAAGACGCACATTTATAAATCCCTGTTGTATCCCACCCCTCCATTGTTGCATTTAATTGTCTACACCGCCATGGATAAGACACAGAGCTATACGTGTTTTATACGTATTTAGCATTAAAGTAAACAATAATTTTTTTTGAAAACCAAATGAAAGCTAATTTCTTAGACAGTAGTAAACGTTTACTTGAAGGTGTTGTCAGTTTTTAAAGGTCAGAGTTCGGATTGATTCATTCTTCATTCCGAAGTGTACGTGAAATCGCTATTTAAACAAGTTACTATGGCAACGGTTACTGTCACCATGATCTGTTACCAATGTGTTAAGTAGTCTTGGTATCTTCTTTACAATTCTTAAAAAAAACAACATTTCTATCTGTTTCGTATTTTCTTTTTATTAGATTATAAGTTTATCAGGTATATATTCGTCCAAAAAAAAAAGACTGCGATATTCATTTTCCTAGAGATACCATCTACTAGGGATGTCACTGAACATAGTTTCTAATAATTAAGTTGATTTCGCTATTTGTTAAAAGGGAAAAGGTCAGATATTACAACCGATTGTAATGTGTTGATGTTGTGAGTTGTCAAAGCCACAATTTGAGCTTGTATAATCTCTAAATATGAGCATGGAGATGAATTTACTGACTATTTGTTTCCTATAGCCCCAATTGTCCAGACATTGTTTACTTGTATTCCAAACTCGCCCAAAGCTGAAGCGGCTAGTTGACACAATTCATTTTTCTGCCGACAACGTTGGAAAGAGTTAATACCTCAGATTAAACTTTCAGGACCAGAGATTTGGATAGGTTGTTAGCCATTCTCGATTATTGGGGTGGCGGAATTTCACATCATATCATGTCGATATATATCCGTAAGTCCTAAATATAAACCCATGCTGTTTGTTGGTCTTTATATTTTGTAAAAAAAATCCACAAGGAACGTCCAAACATTTTAGAAAAATAGCTACCTTTAAGACAACACATTAACATTAAAAATCCCCATACTTTTTTGGAAATGCGCTCCAAAACGAACGCCACAGTTCTATAATTCCATGATTTCGCATTTAGTTTTCTGTTTTGGGGACAAGGAAAAAAAAACCCTATACGGTTGTTGATCAATCGTTTAACGTAGACAAACTTGATCACTGGTGACTAAAACTTGGAAGCTGTAAAAGTTCAATGGGGTGGAGTCAATCGGCGCACTGGTTTTTTAGCAAAGGAAGAGCTAGCCATGCTAAGATGACTCTGTTTACTTCAGCCTACAGAAGACTCGTATTAATCTGTCGACTGAATCTGAATAAACAGCCAAAGTTTGTCGGCATCCCCACTAAAACACGACTTTTTCGGCCTCGTTGGCAGGTTTCAGACCAATACTGTGTCAATAATGTTACTTCTTCAATGAACTTTATTTGTTTGTCGTGTTGTCTTTTTCGGAAAATGATACAAATATTTCAAAACTATTGTATAGTTGTTTCACCATTGAAATTTTATGTTTTTAAGTGCACGAATTCTATTATCTACTATATAATGTGGAAACTTATAAACGTGAAAATAGAAATGAAATGGGGTTTAAAGTCCTACTGTTCTGCTCCGACTGAGCTAATGATGACGCAAACGTGGAAATGATCAAGCTTTTGTTGTTTTGAGCCGCCCTTGTGTACTAGTAATCTTGTCTAACATGGATCACACATCTCGTCAATTTCTAAACGAACATAACTTAAAGGTGGTTCGTCACAAGTAAATATTTCAATAATCCCTTGTTAATAAGTTGCTAATGGACAGACGACGTCACCGCCCAAAGATTAGTTGACTCTAACTGTTACAAAAAAAATAAACCCATTGTTCGATTATCCCAAATTAACCCTGTTTGTCCAGCCTTTCTACTGTTTAATAACCTTAAACAAAACACATGTACTTGTAAGTTATTATTGTGCTATTAGTAAACTAAAACTTTAGTTTTCTCTGTTAATACCAGTAACTTATGTTTTATCCTGCTGTTCTTTTAACACGATATAATTTTTATTTAGTTAAAGTCACATAGTTATATTTTGGATTATATTAGTATTAACAATTACAACTTTTAGCATAAACTTTTAAACACGTAAACCTCTGGATAGCGACTACTGTTGTAACAAATACAGTAGTCTGCAGCCTTCTTCCATGATATTCGAAATAATAATGATATTAGCTACTTTTAAATATGTTTATTGGTAAATGTATATAATATATACATATAGATTTATGTTGATTTTTAAAAAATATATAAATCTGACACTGTAACATTGATCAGTATTTTTTCTGCATTACATGTATATACCCATGGATCAGGGTGCGTTAATTAAATGAATGTTACGGATCAGGTGTCATTAATTAACTGATTACACTCTGTTTCATTACTACTGTGCCATGTTTACTAATGATCGTTTTTTCATTTATTTCTTATTTCAGCTGATTTCAATGGCTACGCAAGTGATACGATGTCTAAACGATCAGGACTACACGCTTTATCCGATGATCGATATTCCGAATATTCTCATCGATCAGAAAAATCAAAACGATCGATACATTCCAGTAGAGCTGCTTAAATCAATAATATTTGTCTATGTATAGCAATATATGGTTTATTAGACGGACCAATTATTCACTACATATTCGTTGACGAAATCCCAATTCAAAAATCGATTATGGTTTAAGGTAACATCAAAACTTTACATCAATTGTTTGGAAAATTTGTCTGTGAACAAAAACTGAAGGAAAATTATGAATAATTGGTCTTTGTAATAAGTCACCTTTTTGTATAATAATGTAAATTATTAGCTTTTATAATTAATTTTTTTGACATAGAACTAGTTATAAAGTCCCGTTTAGAGATGCCGTGATGCAACTCTTTAAAATCATTTCTGAACAAATTTTCCGTCTGATAGAATATTCCGATTACAGCTTTATCAAAGAAGTACTCTTCTGTACGCCCAAGCTCTCGTAATGATATACAATACAATCATGTTATGCCAACTTAAACAGGCTTTATTAATAAGAACAGACTAAAGGAATTATATGATTTAAATTTTACTAAAACAATCCACAACAAACAAGTGGCCATGACATTAGATAGTCTAAATGTTTGATTTGGTTGCTTTTACTAAATTGTTTTATGACTTTCTTACTTAATTCGTGTTTTATTTTGAGATTATTGACTATTTAACCTTAAACTCATTATGTCAGATTTTAACATATTTGTTGTGTACCTGTATCATGTATTGTCTTTATTTGTAAAACTCTAAATGGGACCCTGTTCTCATAACGCCAGGGCGTTACAATCTAAGGGAGAAAACTCTATAAGAAATTCTGTGGGTACAGACCACTAACTAATTCCAGAATTTACATTTATTTTGTAATGTCGTGACTGACACGTTACATTTGGCGATACACTGGTTGATATTAAATATGAGAAATAAGTGGTCTGTGTCGTTTTACATTTTGAATATTATTACAAAATTGATAAAATTATTTCGGCACTATGGTAAAAATCTGTAATATTGTATTTTGTAAACTGTTAAATTGTATATTGTGTATAGGGTAAATGTATATTGTACAAATGATATCATGCATAGTACGCTATAGAGATCAAATAATATTAAATAGCGAGTAAACGTTATATTTTTGTGTTCAATAACTGTAGATAATACATTACCCATGTCATTTTACCATAGAGATAACATAATTACTTATATTTTATTATTTATATTATATATTGAGCTTGGCTTATTATTCTACCACTATAATTACAATTTACCTGAATTCTTTAATGTCTCAATCGCGATACACACACGTATGTCATCATGTCTTTATTTGGTTTTATTCTTAACCCTATAGCAGAGATTAAATTTTAATTTTTGGTTTATTCTTTTACATTGAATAGAACGATAGGCACTCATTTTACCATTATAAATTATACCTAAAAAAATATCCTCTAACAAATTTAACATCAGAAATTGAAATCTTGTCCGTAGTTTGACTATAATCTAAAAACCGAAGTTTTGTCACTAATTTTACTATATGAATTGTAATATTCAAGACAATAAAATATTCTTTTATAATACAGCAGCCTTGGTTTTTTAATTGAAAGATACTGATACTCAATGCTAATTAACTGTGAAGAACAGGACCGAGGTCCCTGTACACATTGGCGTGCGTGTGAAAGACACCTTGGCAGTTGGAATTTGAAATAAGATTAGGACGTGTAGCGCCGCTGTCCAGGCAAACTTTTCCGCGTACCACACTATGACCTTTTCCGTCTTCATCAACCCGGGAGATGCGAAAATGTAGGACGTTAAGCCCCAATTCATTTCATTTACTATACGGAGAAGCCAATCTGATTAAAATACTGATCTATATTTCGTTTCGTTTTTTATACTTTCGATGGCCTACACTACATGTAGATCTAACAAATTATTGTGGGAGTTCACGTCAGGTCTCAAGTAAGCGACATATGTCCCTATAACGTCAGTCATTCGATTAACCAATCAGAATCGATGTTGCATGTGGCTATGCTTTGCTTTGGTTTGATTTCTATCGCTGCTAATGTCTACCCACCGATTCCGCGCAAAAAAGGTCAAGCACTCGATTCGACAGACCATTTGATTGGCTGACCCCTCATTTCAAGCATAACACGAGTTAAATAACAATTCTTCCAGATCCTAGTGCAGTAAAGACAAGTAAAACGAAATTTTGAACTATAAAAACGAAACGAAATAGGATCTGTGTTTTAATCAGATTACGAAGAAGCCTCCGTTAGGGTCTATAAAAGATTAAGACCAAGTTATCGGCTTAAATTATCATTTTTCAAAATGCACTATAGGATAGCGTCCTTAGATTTTACGCCCCTATGGACATATAATTCAAGCCCTCAATTGTTTCAAATAAACAAAATAACCACTAGATCAAGCCCCACTCATTTACATTTGAATGACTACTCGGCTGTATTCCGAGGTTTTAGGCGTTACCTGTGGCAATTTAGTCGTTGCTCTGAAAAGGTCGACCTGCGTATTCACCTCGACTCACGGAATAAGTTGCATATAGCACGTTATCATGTTTTCATCCGAGTACTGCTTTATCGACAGATGCTACTTCTTGCTTGGAATAACTTTTGGCTTTTTTGTTTTCCACTATTTTACATGGAGATGCCAGGAAACCTTATATAATCCCCACCTCACGGGTTTACTTCATACAACGATAGGTTATCTCCCCCTTCTTAAAATTAGAAAGTGTTTGTGTTTAGCGGCCCTGATTAACCCCTGATCATACAAGTTTTAAGTACACATTCATATGTCAGAGTTTTCTTAGTTATCTTAACACACGGAATTCCTTTAATATAGAGTTGTATTCCGCTTTGCTACTAAAGCGTTTCTATAATCAAATACCCATAGTCAAAACTTGGGTCGGTTAAAATTAACTTTTCAAATTACCAGGGCGAACAAGCATCACAAACAATATAAATATAAAGGCCAATAGTCAACTCATTTGTATAGCTTTGTTTCCACAAAGCTTAGAGAGATAAAGAATACTTTCTTTCTGTCCTTTCTGGTTATTCATACAATGTCTATTTTTACTTTATTTCCATACAAAAATGAATGATTTATTTTTGGCCTTCTTGGTTGTCCATATTATGTTGGACCTATTAGTCAGTTAATTAAAACAAAGGACCGAACCCACAGCCATGATAACCTAAATGTCAACAAAAACTGAAAACGACCTTATATTTTATAAATATATAGGCCATGGGCTGAAACATCGGACTTTTATGCTGGATTTCTATATGCTATAAAAAGGTTAGGATAGCGCCCGTGGTTCTTATATGTGAATTACACATGTTGTTTCAACGCTAATGAATTGTTTTGTAAACGAAGTAACCACTAGACTAGGCCTGACCTGTAACGTACGGTCTCGATAAATTTATATCAGCTTTCTCCGTGAAAAAAGTGTATAAAGTAAAAACAGCCGGAAATAGTTGTTCCTTTTGGATCAAAATTTGTCGATCAACTGACAAGCAAAAACATTTACTAAAAAATATAATAATATAAAACTTTTTGTGGCGAATCGAACCCCCATAGAAATAAATATCTAAGTCGTAAATATAGGCCCATTTTTCCTACACACACACTAAAATACTCTCTACTACTACACAGTGGTTCCCAACCTTTTGTTGGTTGCGACCCCATTCCAGTGCATTATCTAATCGCGACCAGGTCATCTTTTACTGTGAAACATTCGTCATTATTTACATTTATTATATAAAACTTATTGTGGGGAATCGAACCCCCATAGAATTAAATATCTAAGCCGTACATATAATCCCATTTTGCCTACATACACATTAAAATACTGCCTATTATACAGTGGTTCCCAACCATAATCGCGACCCCTCTAAGAACAATTTATTTACATTTATTATTGATTTACTTATTTGACAACTTATTGTTTACATTTTACACATTTTTAAAAATTGAGAAAAGACAATTGGAAATGAGCTAAGAGGTGTATAGATCATGAAAGTTTTAGAGTAATCCGCCACGAATCCACAAAAAGTGCGTGTCGCGACCCAGAGTTTGGGAACCCAGGCTCTACTATAATAGCGCCCGTAGTTCTTATACCGCGAACGGTATATAAGAATTCAATGTGCGTGAAATTTTTATTTAACGAAGTGACCACTAGACCAGGCCTGACCCATTTATTTTTTATATCGTAGCTATACATACCTATAAAACCTGAGGTAGTGATTGTGCAATCCAAGAAAAACAGAGTTGTCTTCTCAATATCACAATCTTAGTCAAGTGTGAATGAGTAGGTGTCAGCTTTTGTTTCTTCAATTTTCGATTCCACACAATTCTGTCAGTTGGGTTTACTCAAAAGACAGACGAAGTCAAATTAATTTAGTTGCTGAAATTATTAAATCTGCAATATGTTTCATTTCTGAGTTTTCATCATAAAGTTTCAAAAGAGTAGAATGAAAAAGAATACATGGTTACCCATACGACTGACCTTAAACATCATGTGATTGCCCTCATTAATTGTTTAAAACACGGGGACGAACTCGCAGCTATGATAACCTATACGTTAACAAAGATTCAAAACCATCACAGATTTCTTTTATAATAGAAAAGTTGACTAAAACTGTATAGATTGCTGAATTTCTTATATGTTATTTCCAGTTAAAAAGGCCAGGATAGCGCCCATGGTTCTTATGTGTAAATTACACATCTTGATTCAGCCACAATGAATTGTTTAGTAAACGAAGTAACCACTAGGCTAGGCCTGACCAGTAATTACGGTGGGAATTAATTTATATCAGTTTTCTCCGTTGATCAACCCAATTAAATTTATTGAAAAACAAGCGTTTAAGCAAATACAGCGCCTCAAAGTTGTTACTTTTGGATCAGCTGTCATAACAACAAATGAAAACTTTTTTGTATTTATTCATGTCAGTAAGAAGTAACAACAAATAAAAATAATAAAATACATGTGTACACTATTTAAATATATTATAGAACCTAATATGTAATGAACTATACAGGTCACAATTTTATGGAATACAATCACTGCTTATTGCTGATAAAGCCCTGATAAAGTATAAATGTGTGTGAGATAGCTATATTTAATGTCCGCTTCCACCGAAGTGATATCGCAGACAATATAAAGTATAACATGTAACGAAACAATATATACATGTAAAAAATAGCACTTAGTTAATGCTGGCCAGCCGAGACACACTTCTAATTACCTTGATGGAATCCTAACTTAATTAAAGTCATGTAATTATGAAAGTGATCAAGGTTGATAAGGGTAATACTAATAACAACCAATATGACACGGATCATTTTTACCTGAAAATAAAACAAATTGATTAATGGTAACTTGTATTGACAATGGTATTGATTAATGGTAACTAATATTGACAATGATTTGGACTGTTCACGTATGTCACCGATTTTTAACTGTGAATAAAATCACTTTTAGGGTTTCAAAGAACAAATCATCTAACTAAATATTCCTCATGCAGTTTCAAAAGCCTAAAATGAAATTGAACAGACACCACAAGCATTATAATATAAATATAAACTTCAACCTTCATCTCATTTGTATAGCTTTACCTTACATTAAAGGAGTTAAATCGCCAATATTTGGGACCTAGACATTGACACAAATGGGCCGCCACGCATATAATAATGCAATATGAATGTAAATAAACTGATTTACATTGAATTGTTTCTGTTTTACTATAATTTCTAATCCTTTTTTGAGTTACAAACTTAGCTGCTTTAAGCCTGAAATGAATAATTTATTTTTTGCTGTCTTGGTGATCCATAAAATTAATTTCTATTTTACTTCCTTTCCATAAAGCCTCAAACGAAAGTGAATTACATGTAATTCATTTTTGGCATTCTTGTCTGTCCATATTATGTGATTGACCCGACAGTCAAACGAAGGACCGAACTCACAGCTACGATAAACTAAACGTCAAAACAAAACCTCAAAATCACCATGCACATATTTTTTTTAAATATGGCCTTGCTCTAAAGAAATCCTACTGCTTGCTGAATTACTATATGCTATAAAAAGGGTTAGGATAGCGCCTGTGGTCCTTATGGGTAAATAACACAGGTTGATTCAACGTTAATGAATTGTTTGGTAAACAAAGTAACCATTGGGCCAAGCCTGACCCGATTTCAACATTACCCATTTCAATATTTTAATAACAACACCTCCAATGCTTCTCTAGATAGTACATTAAACCGGTTTATAAATTAAAAAATTGACCGGGCTAAATATTTATGAAACGTAGTGGGAATCGAACCCACGCCAAAAAATATTTAAATCCTAAATAGCTACGTATTTCCGAATTACCCCTAAAACTATACCGATCTCTGTTGAAACTCCTTTATTTAAAGAAAAGGATGATTTAAAAGAAAAGATCAGGTAAGCGTCCGTAGTTCCTCTACCGCGAATGGTATATAGAATTCCAAGGTCTATGTATTGTTTTATCAAATATAGAGTTGCATTTTTGAAAACACCTTAAAATAAACCGAACACTACTGAAATACA